TTCCAGCAGCTTTGTTTTTGTTCCTGAAGTATTTTGAAGTGTGGACACTGCTGTAATGCTGGAAATTATTGCGCTGTCCCCAGACAGTAAGGTTACAATAACCTGATGATCTGTTTTAGCAATGTTGGTTAAGGCAGTGCGGTTTGATTAATAGTAGACAGACTGTCCCTGTTTTGAAGAAGGGTGCGCGGACCTGAAATATTATCTCTGCTCTCTCTCCACAGATGCTGCCAGACCTGCTGAATTTTCCCAGCTGTTTCTGTGTTTGTTTCAGCCCTGCTCTTCTTTGAGAATTGTGTCTGAAAGAGTTTTTCACCCAGAGAGGAGAGATGGAGACCTGTTTTAAATGTTTCATCCAAATCACAGCAACTCTCTCTCTCTGTACTGACCCTCTGGAAGTGTAACACTTCTCATTGAAATGTTAATGGTTTCTTGCTTCACTGATTTGCCTTTGCTGAATATTTGCTGCACTGTTTGCTTTTACTTCAGTGCCCCAAAGTGAGTCAGCATTGATTATGCCAGAGGAAGTGGCGGAGGTTGGTACAGTTAAAACATTTAAAAGGCATCAGGATGGGTACATGAATAGGAAGGGTTTAGAGGGATATGGGCCAAATGCTGGCAAACTGGACCAGATTAAATTAGGATATCTGGTCAGCATGGATGAGTTGGACCAAAGGGTCTGTTTCAGTGCTGTGTGACTCTATGGCTGTATGTGCTCAAGTCCCTAGGTGAGGCCTGAACTAGAAGATCTTTATAGAACCTGCCTGACTGTCATCTAACTACCCATTTTCCTACAAAATATTTATCCCATTCCCTTTTGAAGATTAGAGATAGTAAGAACAGCCAATGCTGGCGTCAGAAACAACACAGTGTGGAGCTGGAGGAACACAGCAGGCCAGGCAGCATCAGAGGAACAGGAAAGTTTCCTCCTCCTCTGATGCAGCCTGGCCTGCCGTGTTCCTCCAGCTCCACACTGTGTTATCCCTTTTGAAGATTACTTCTTTTTTTAGTTCATTCATGGGATGAGGGCATTACTGGCTAGGCTGGCATTTATTGTCCCTCCCAGAGGGCAGTTAAGAGCCAAACACATTGCTGTGGGTCTGGAGTCAAAGTAGGCCAGACGAGGTAAGGATGGCAGTTTTCTTCCCTAAAGGACATTACGGAACAAGATGAGTTTTTCCCGACAATTGACAATGGATTCATGGTCATCATTAGACACTTAATTCCAGATTTTCAAGAATACAACCATCTGCCATGGCGGGATTTGAACCCAGATCTCCGGAATATTCCTGGTGTTGTTCATAATACCACTAGGCCATTACCTCCCCTACAATATAATCTGCTTCCACTAACCAATAAGGCATGTCTTTAGCAGTCTCAACAACTCAAAGTTCAAACAAATTCCCTCCTCTGGTTCTTTTGAGATTTACTCCAATCTGGTTACCAGACCTTCTGTCACTATTGTTGCGAAGTTGGGTAGAGTACTTGAGGATTGGGAGGCAGGAAGTTAGAATTTGGTGTTTGTAAAATGCTAGGGGGTCAAGCATTGCATGGTCCCTTTAAAAGATGATGTTTCCCCCCCTATGATTAGGAATTTAAAATGGATATCTGTGAGCAGCAGCTTGAAGGTTTGCAAGTACTGTACACAGACAGCACCCGAATTGAAACATTTGTAGCAAAAGGCCATACAGTTAGCAGGCCAAGCAGCAGTTTTTACCAAGGCAACAAGTTTTTGAATTTAGCCAGTTTGAACCAGGCATTAGATACCAAAAACCACTTAAATTTACATCTGATTGTTTTGACAACATAGGACCAATCCTATTGTAATAAATATTGATATGTCATCAAGGATATAAAAATAAGGGGGCAGTTGGACAAAGCAGCAGAGCTAACTGCTATCTGCCAGAGCTAACAGCCCTCAGCTCTCAAGAGAGAAACGCTGGCTCTCACAGCCTCTTCTATGTCTTAGAGAAAGCACCATTTAAATAACCATGGTACCCAGGGCACAACTAGTTAACCTTCCTGACAGAAGAATCGATGTAGAAGGCACAGAACATTCCAGAAGAAGCGTGACCTGGCGGTAATTTCGAGAGACTAAATTCTACTTGTTTTTATAAGTGGGACTTATATTTACCGGAACAGAATACCATTAGAATTTTGCTTTATTCAGGAATAGTTGGTATTTAGAAGGGATTTATTCAATTTGTTAATAGATTAGTTAATTTGTTCACTATTAGAGTTAGATAAATAAATTAATATTTGTGGATTGTAAAGTGAGTGTCAGGGATTTAGTTTATTTAACCAGTAGAAATTGCTGCAAGGCAGGTTACAACACTTTTCCACTCCTTTTATAGGTTATAGGGCGATGCGATCCTCTTTGGGTGTTTCGGTTACAGTTCTTGGGGGGGGCATTGGTCAACCTCTGCTTTATAACACTACAATTAGTCCCTCCTTACTTACTCAATCACAGCTTCATTTTTTAACTTTGTGAAATCTCCAACAATGTCTTCTGATCTAAGGAAAATAACCTCAAGTTTCTCTACTCGTTTTACATATCTGAACGTTTGGATCCTTGGCACCACTCTGGAAATTTCCTTCACCCACTCCATCTTGGCAAAGTGTAATACGCTGAATTGACTCTATATTCCCCAGCTGGGGCCAAGGCAGTGATTGTTAACGGTTTTGTATAAGCTTCTGCACCTTTGTCTCTATACCACTGTTTATAACAGCCTCACAGGCTTGGGCCATTTGTTTATATTATCTTTTCATATTCATCCTATCAAAACGTATTGCTTTACAATTCTCTGCACTTAAATGCATCCATCATGTGACTGCCCGAATGATCAATCATTGACGTCCTAAATTCTCCCACCTTGTCTTTACATTTCTGTGTTCTGTATCACTTGCAAACTTCGATATCACGCGTTGTACACTCAGGTCCTGGTGTTAATAGATCACACAAACTGCAGGAGCCCTCATTCGGGCCCCTAGGAACACCACTTCCTGCCAGTGTAACTAACAACCATTCCCTACTGCTCTCCATTCGCCAGTGTCATATCGGTACATTGGCCTGAACTTTCACCCCAAAGGTTTCAGTATGACTGTCAGAGTCTGCTGGAGCCCAATGTGCACACACATTTTGTACAGTCTGAAATTTGCCTTACTGTTTAATTCGACAGCACAGACAGAGCCCATTCAGGTGTGTTCTTCACTCGGTAATATCTATTAGGTCCATGGGCCCTTCACTTCGATCACTCCCCATCTACTATTCCAACCAGGAATATCGATCGGTTCTGCAGTCTCTATGGATTATCCACTACACAAATCTAGTCATAGGCTGGGTTATTCTTCACTGTCTCCCAGTTTGGTCCCTTTCCACACCCACCTGGTTTAGTCCTAACTCTCTCTCTCTGTCTCCCTCTCCCCTGGACAGTCCCCACTCTCTCTCTCTTTCCCGGCTGTGGCACAGTTCCGTTTCCCCGCACACCCCACCTTCCATTCCCCACTCCCACACCCACTCCCATCTCTCTCTCTCTTCCCCTGTGCAGTCTCCACTATCTTTCTATCTCAGGCACATCCTCTGTCTCTCTCTCTCTCTCAGTTTGTTGGGATGGGATTGGGGTTTAATGTGCGAGTACAGACCATGAAGCAGTGCTAGAGGTTTTCACTCACCGTCACATTGGGGGCAGTCACAGGGTCCACTGATGGGGTGGGGACACGGAGCTGGGGCACACAACGCCCTCACACAGTGCACTGAGCCGCTCTGTAACACAACACACAGCACAGGTCAGCACAGAGAGAGGCTGGCACACTGCAGCGATAGGGTAGGGATAGGACGGCAGGGGGAAGGGCAGAACCGAGGGAGGGGAGAGGGGGAACGTGGAGGGAGGAGAACGTAGGGGGAGGGGAGGGCAGAAGGAGGGAGGGTGGAGGGAATGGGAAGGGGGAACGTGGAGGGAGGCAAATGTAGAGGGAAGGGAGGGCAGAAGGAGGGGAGGACGGAGGGGAATGTAGGGGGAGTATGCAGAGGAGAGGGAAGGTTGCCGGAGGGGACAGTGCAGAACAGGAGGTGGAGGGTGCAGGGACAGTGGGGGAATTTGGAGAGGCTGCAATTGTGTGAAGGAGGAAGAGTGAAGGATAGAAACGATGGTCACTCTCTCCCTCGGCTGAGGGGAATGAGCGATTGATCCCAAAGATGGATTAGATGTAGTTACTCACCCGGCAGGTACATTGTGAGCATGTGTCAGTAGGATTAGTGAATGTCTGTCCATTACTGATAGTAACACCACCATAGTAACAGCCTGTGAAAGAACAGATTGCTTTTAATTGACATCAGCAGTTTACAGTTTAGTAACCATCAGATTAACACAGAAAATCACACTCCCAGAACGGTCATAACAGGCTATAGCACTGTTTATGTATAAAACTATCCACGACACACACTTCACTTTCTAAACCATAAAGGCATCCAGAGTCCCTTTAAATCCAGCAATGTAAATCCTGACAGCTACTCTCTGCAGTAGCCAATCGCACATTATCACCATTCTCAGCATGAAGATGATTCTACAATCCCTGTCACTCTCTGCTGTCTCTCAGAACCCCCTCTCTCAGGGAGATTGCTGTACACTCACTGCTGTCTCTCAGT